CACAAATTTCCGACACACTGAATTTTGATTAAAATAAGCCAAATAAAAATGCATTTTGCATATTTTGGCAACTTCGTGCATATGTTAGGAAATATTGCATATCTGTGCATATTTTCTCCAAATCACAAATTTCCGATTAAACATTTCAGTTTAAGTTAAAATTTGGACAGTTGAAGAAAAATGATCTGATTACAAAATATTTTAAAGAGAAAACAACCGGTAATTCGTAAGCCGTACTCAAAAAATTAGTATCCTGCTTCGTTTTTAAATTCGTTTTAAACAGGGTGAATATAAAGTATCGAAAAAAGCGTTTTTTTTTTAAATCATGTTTCCAATAATAATTTTTACTCAGTATTTCAATAAACAACCTGTTTTCTTGATTGATGAATGGTGATAACGTAACTTTAAAAAATTATCCCATTTTTTTAGAAGAGGAAGTTACGCAAACCTAGGTACTTGATTTTAAACGATAAATAGAATAATTTAAAATTTTCTAGGTTTAAAAACGTGTACAATAAAACAAATCAAGGTTTATACCTCCAAACCCTAAGTTTTTTAGAAAGCTTATTGTAAAGTAATAACATACAGGGTGTTTCATTTGAAAAAATCATGTTACTTGATATTTTGCAAATCTCAACACTCTGCAGTAGTTGTAAAAAATTGACCGAATTTACCATAATAATTTTAGGACCAGACTTAGTAAAAACTGATGCAGTTGTTTTTGTTCACTTTTTCTTTCTAGCTGGGATTTTTCAAAAATGGCATTTTTTTTCATAAAATTGCCCATAAATGATAAACGGTCCATGATAGATCCATAAAACCTAATATGAATTTTCTTAACATTAAAACCTCTTTCAAATAAGCGCATAAGAAAAAATATAACTTTCTTGCTCCACCCTATATAGAAATCACCTATAATGACGAAAATATTTTTGGATCGTAGAAAAAATAAATGTCTATCGTCCAAAAGAAACCGCATTTCGTTATCTTCTTTACTGTCAGAGTAATCGAAGAAATACGGAGCACTGGGACACCCTGTATATGGAAATTTTTCGTGCATATCATCCGAGCCTTAGTCATAGCAAATTATTTTAGTGTTTAGAATATTTGTAATCCGCGAAGATCCTGTATAATAAAAAAAAACACCAATTCGTATGTGGCACACACCAAGTCATCTAAGTAAAGAATTGTATTACAAAAAACAGTTTCTTTGTAGAGAACTAGCCATGGGTAACGAAGTGGCACGTGCCATAATTGCCACAAGATAGTAAATAGAAAACAGTTTTGATACGTATTTCCAATAATAATGAACCACATAAAGCGTGGAAAGCAAAAAAATGTAACATACTAACCATAAATGATCATCCTTTTGGTGACTTGGTCTTCGCTTTCAGGACCGCTCACTTTACAAGTATAGTTTCCGGAAAATTCCGGTGAAAGATCTGTTATGCGCAACGCTCTGTACATTGTATTAGGATCGTTGGTCGCACGATAAGTGAGGTCTATGTGATCTTTAAATTTGCCCAAAGCTTGGGCTGGTACGTTGGTTTTTGGTAACCATTGGTAAATTTGTTTGTCTCCATCAATAAACCACTTAATTTCTGTTACAGTGTGATCTCCGGAAGTGAAATCACAATCCAAGACTACGAAATCTTGACTACCATAACGTATCGCAGAGGGAACGTCCAATTTGTTTATTTTAATTTTTGCAGAACCTGAAAAATAATACAAACGTGCAATATGCAATTTCGTAAACAATACAAAGTGAAGGAAAAAAAATAGGCCAATAGTTAGCCTGAAAAAATTTGAATTGCTTTTTTAACGTTTGAACATTTCTTAGAAAAAGGCTCAAATACAAAAAAATGTCACAACAAACTTTCCAAAATCTCGTGCTTCAAAAGACAGTTGGAGAAACTAAAAAGTGTTTAAAAAATCTTCAGACTTGCAAAAAAATTCTTAGAAAAATTCTTAAATGTAAAAAATTGATCCTGTACTTTTTTTAATTAATAAAAGGACAATGTGTTTTCATCTGCGTATTTTTGTTTATATGTTGATATGTTTTCTAGATTTTTTGAATAAAAAATGAGAATTTACCATAATGTTATGTGATCGTGTAAACAATACATAATGTATAAAAGTGCAGGAAAAAATCTAGGTCATTGGTTGGTCTCTGGAAATATGCCAGGTTTAAGGCAAGCGGTCTAATATCGGAAATGATTCGTATTCTATTTTGAATTGTGCAAAATATGTAAAATTTTATTAGAATGAAGTCATAACCATTAAAAATGAAATTACAATTTTCTCATTATAAATGGATGTTATGTACATTACAAAAAATGTCATCCAGTTTTTGAAACATTTGTTCAATTTGTTTCTCTTTAGTTTTGCAAATTTGTAAAAAAAGTAGCTAAAATCTCCATTACAAAATAACTAAAATTTCTATCAAATTTCTAACATGTCTGTGAATCATAAAAACAAATAAAAAAACCGATACCTTAGATACTTTTTAGAACCATCAAATTACTCTCAAAATTGCAAACAAAATTGTTGCAACAACTTTTTGTAGGTAGATACAGGGTGATTCAAAAGTGTCGGACTAACTCTCGAATGGTAATAGAAGACTTTCAGGTAAGCATAACAATAAATTCAATTTTTTTTTCTTTCTTTTTTTCAATTTTATTATGTAGGCATCTGAATTTACTATTTTATTAAATGTTTTATACACCATAAGACCTAAATTGGTGTTTTTTGCATGTTGCAAGATCTGTCGTTTCCGCTAACTAAATTCAAAAATACATGATCTGAACGGCCAAAAAGTTAACCCAAAATCTAGCCTTTGAAGAGCTATACCTCGTGAAAAAAGGTTCAAATAATTTCACCTCCCAAGAGATGATCCGACACTTTAGAATCACCCTGTATAACTCTTAAAAATGCAACATAATTTTTTATCTGCCAACGTCCCAAAAGTGGCCACTTTTACGACTAAATGTCACAAGTAAAAGTTTTATCTTTCATCTAAAAATTCTGTTTTTGCGCCTAAGCGTTTTACTTTAACCATGTAGTCTCTTTTGATGCTGCAGTAATTTCTGAAGAGGTATATTGTAAATCATCAGCATTCGACATTTTTACTACCAAGTGCACTAGTTAAATTAATAAACACTTTTGAAAATCTCAATTCCGATACTGTTTATAGGCGTTGTTATGATTTCATTACTTGCAAAGCGTCCTCATTATTTCGTTCATATTCTTGCTAATTATAGTGAAAAAAAAATTGTTATTAATTTTCTCTAATTCAAATATCTACTAATACTAAAATGTACTGCAGCGTTGCCAATTTGTGCAATGTTTAAATATTCATATTTTCAAAATCACGCGGCTTAGAAAAATTATAAAAGTGAGCTTCTATTAACGTGTCCTATCACCACATAAGACATTGCCTGACTCTTTTGAATCACCCTGTATAGCGTTGTGTAGTAATTTTATCCGTTAAAAACGCATATGCTACTCCATTTCCGTTAAGTCTGTGCTGACTTCCGGAGTAAATTATGGTCTATGGTCGGTGGTCAAACTACGAGTTTTATTAAATCAGAATTCCTGTATTTTCAACAATAATTAAGCATATTACATCATTTACATCCCTTATGATTCATTAAAATTGACCGGAAGCTGCATGCGGGTTTAGTTAAATTTAGAAAAGACAAAATTATTAAATTTATTTAACTTATTGCATGTTAAAAAAGTTCATCATGCGTTGAATGAATTTTGCAATTTCCGGCGAAATTATTATTTAGAAAATACGATTTAAGTGAGTTTATTTTGATTTCAGAGAATCCCATAGATGTAGACAACATTGTTCAATGAAACTGTTAGCAATGTTTATGCGGGTGATTGCCCAGTTATTCTATTAAATTACTACACTAGATTCTTATTTTATTACATGTAATATAAAACCATCTAAATCGTGTTTGTATGTATTAAGCTCTGACACATTTAATTCATTGTCGTTATTTTCAACAAAAATATAAAGTTCTAAGTTTGAACTATTAACGGTTTTGGATCGCTGATTTTGAAACCATCTGTTGCGTCTGTTTTCATTCTAGAGAACCTGACCCTTTGTACGTGCCAGGAAGGGTAAATCGTACACCTTCCGCTTACAAACCAATAGCACGTGCCAACGGAAAATTGAGAAACACATTGGATTGTGCAAAATTAAAAGACGTAACGTCCAAGTAGAGCATAAAAATAGACCTTATAATAATAACTAGAAGGAGGTTGATTAAAGTCAAGCGATGAAATTCGCTCGACTAAATATTACCAACACATCCAGATGCATAAAAGAAAGCCAAAATTTAACAATACATTGTTACAGTAAATTTTTGTTTAAATATATTATACTTACACAAATACAAACATAGCAAAAAAATTAAAATCTTATCCATTTTGCAATTGCACTAAAAACAACAACACTTAAGTACTCGGTTGAAATTTGCCACTTTATTCGCGCATGTGTTCTATTTTAAAAACTAGCCAGTCCACCACGCTTGAAGTTCAACGCCGAACTGTCTTCGTTTCTATTTTAAGGTTTTGAACCACCATGCAGGACTACCCATGCATGATATGAGCGTTACAGTTTAGATTAACTCATTCATACTAATTAATTTACTTTTCTGTGTTTATTGCACGCCAGGAATCAAGGTAATTCAATAAATACAATTGTAAGGTTTCAAATCCCATTTTATTGTACATCCAGATTTAAAACAACAAATAAAAAATAAAATTAAACCCGCTTGGTTCCATACTTTATATTTACCCAGTATATACAGTGTGTTATTTGCTATTAAGACAACAAGAATAAATTATGAAAGTTGTGTTTGCAAAATTTTTCCAATACTCAAATTGGATCAGAAATTGTAAAAATATGTGTATTTTATGTGATTGACGACGTATTTTATAAAAAAGCGTAACATGAGCGGTAAGCTTAAAAGTGTTGAAAAAAGACAAGAGTAAATTATTAAAGTTGTGTTGTCTGCAAAATTTTTCCAACACTAATATTGGATCAGAAATAGTTTGTAAAAATGTGTGTATTTTATGTGATTGACGACGTATTTTATAAAAAAGCGTAACATAAGCGGTAAGCTTAAAAGTGTTGGAAAAACATATTAAAAAACAATTGTTTTATGAATTTTTATTTTTTATAACCACAGTTTTCTAATTTCCTGATACAAGAGAAGTACCTCACTTAAGTCCAGGTGCTGCAACAAATTTTGTTTCTTTTGCAGAGTCTGTAACAAATAAAGAGGAACAAATCACAAATTTACAACATTACAAAAATTACCTTTAAACTGTTATGAAAAGCAGTAATATTGTCATCAAAGAAATATTTAATAAAAAATTGTTTCACCTGTTGTACGACCCTAAAGTCACATCTTAGTTTTGTAACCTTTGTATCCCAATTGTGTAAAATTGAAACTTTCTTATCTCCTATATAAAACTGAAGTTCTACTAAACGTTTATCACTAACAAATTCAGAAATACATTCTAGATTTAACTGGTGGTAGCAATTTTTTATAAAACGTGGTACAAAAGTATTTTTATCAAAATTACATTTCAATTGATTTTGTAATTGTAATGATGAATGCAAAATGGTTTGATTGTATAATTTCGTGACTTCTAGTAAATTATCTGTTGTAGACTTTAATGTAACATTTTCTTTGAGTGAATTAAAATAGTAAGAAATATCAACATCAACAGGTTGCAAATCTATTACATTCCAAAAATCATTTGACGAATGAAATAAGCAAACCTCAATTCTGCATTCATGTGTATCAGAAGGCACTGGAATTATCCTCAAAACTGTGTTTTTGTTACATAAAGGCAGTATACTGTTACTGCAAAATGTATCAGAAGAAATATTAATTTGTAGTTGCCAATTATCCAAATTAATTAATTTACTTAAAATAATCTCAACTAAGAAAAAATTATGACCATGATATTTACTCAAGTTAAACACATCACTTTCATACAAATTGACGATATCCATTGGATCATTGAAAATTTTAACATTTACATGACTTATTTTTTGTAAACTTGAGCATAAACTCAGTTTAAGAGCGGTGATTTCGCTTTCAACTTTCTTAACTTGCTTTTCCAGTTGTTCAGATTGTTCATATTCACTACTAATTTTTTCAAGAATTTCCTCATACTTTTGCAGCTGATTTAAAGTTATAACTTCCATCTACAAAACGAGATTAATTCAAATTAAATTCGTACAAAATGTGTACTTACATAAGGTGAAGTTTGTTGTTGTCAAACATAAATGTCAAATGTCAAAAAAACAGTTCTCCACATTCAGAGGGCGCTTTTTGTTGAGTGCGTTCCGAATTTTTCGTTGTTTTCAACTCTTTGTACAGATTTCTTTCAGTTTCAAGCTTTCCTTGAGTTTCGTGAAGCTGGAGAGTTAGTTCACAACTACATCAAAATATTAAATATTTATTTTTACATTATTATAAACTGAAAATACTAATTCTTATAAAAATAAAATGCAACCCAAAATACATTGAGTATTTTGGGTTGCATCTTTGTAAAGATTTTCATCTTAAAAAAACATACTTTTTAAATTCTAATCCTGTTACATGTTGTTGCAAATTGAAAAAGTCCTCTTTTAAATCAAAGAGCGTCTTTTGACTCTCATTCAACTCTTTTTTTAAACAGTCGATGGTCTCCTATAAATATATTTTAATTACAATTTTTTTTTATATTTGTGCTCACTTTTGCTGTTTTAAGCTCATCACTTTTTTCCTCAAGTGTACGAATCGTTTTGTTGATCTCATTTTGCGACACATCTTTAGAATCCATAATTGTTTTTAATTTCTTTCTCATTTCTTTCACCTACCCAATTTTTTTAATATTGAAATTATGAAAAAAGTATTAAACGCACCTCTTCTTCCAGTGAGGAATTTTTATTTATTAGTGCACCATATTGCTGTCGTCCTTGTTCTAATATCATTTGTAATTTTTTATTTTCGGTAGTCAGAAGGACATTTGAGTCTTTTTCCTCATTAACTTCCATTAGGATAAGATGTACTTGTTGTTGAAGGTTGTCCTAAAAAATCTACTGAGTGTTTTCTTAAAATTGCAAAAAGTTGCACATCAAAAATAACATTAAGAAAAAAATTAAAATAAAAATATCCAGTAACGTGCCCGTTAGCAGAGTAAAAATAAAGTAATTGACGGAAAATAAGCAATTTCAATAGCCAACAAAGCCTATAAAATTTTGTAACAATAACTCAAGAAGTTTCGCAGAAATTAAAGGATTTTGATTTTTATCATAGAAATTGTTCACCCCGTATATCCGTAACGAAGCTAGGGCTATAGTTTATTTGACAAATTAGTGTTATTTTCCAATGGTTGCAATTTTTCGCAATAATAAAACACCCTGTATAGTACCCTTTCGGTGGATATAGCATTCATGTAATTTTCCAAATTTTCAATTTTGAGACGTGTTTCTTTATGAGCGTTTACTTCTGCACTGTAATTTTCTCTCAATTGAATATATTTCATTTGGAGTTCTTCATGAGCTTTGGCTAATTCGTCAAAACGCTCTTTTTCAATTTGAAGATTTTCGGTGACTTTTTGAAGTTGTTCAGAAATGCTGTCAATTTCATCTTCGATGTTTGCTTTTTGTTCACTATATTCACTACAAAATTATGAATAGTAATAATGTATTAAAAAAATTACGTACACAATAATTTCATTTGCTTGATTTTTGTAATATGATTTTTCACTTTCGGTTTTCAAAATTGTTGATTTTAATTCGTTATTCAAATTATCAATTTCTTTTCGTGCATTCTCTAATTCAACTTGAGTCGTTTTATGCTCTAATTTTACATTATCCATTTCTTTTTCAAGCTTGAAATTTGCGGCTTCTATGTCCTGTAATAGTCTAAAAAATTACTAGTACCTCAGAACTATTTTTTACTTTCTTACACCAACTGGTTTTCATAACCAATCAGTACTTTATTTTGATCTTCTGTTTGTTTCTTAAGATACAAACATTCTTGTTGTAACTGTTTAATTTCACTTTCTCTCTCGATTATTATTCTATTAAGATCGTTTATTTGTTGTTCTTTATTCCACACAATAGTTTGAGTTTCCAAAAACTGATTATCCTTTGCAGAATAGCTTGATAAAGTTTCTTTTAATTCTAAAATGTAAATAAAAAATTGCTAGTTTTTCTCATCAATTTAATATACCAGATGTTTTCTGTTCGTGCAACTTTTTCAAATAATCTAATTCTAATGTTAATTTTCCATTTTCTTGGCTCAAATTTTGCAGGTCATTTTTACACGTACTTACTTCTGATTCTAATGTTGTGCATTCTGCTGTTTTAATTGCAAGCTTATTTTCAACACCCTGTATAACAAGAATTAAAACTTTTCCAATGAGTTAAAACATGTTACACACTGTTAGTTTTTCCTTAGATTCATTGAGGTCGTTTTCTGCTTTTTGTAAGCTAGTTTGTAAATAAGTCACATTTTTGAGGGCCTCTTCTTTTTCATTCCGCATCTAAAACACTCAAAAAGTATACGAAAAACATCCTTTTTAAGGTAAAAACCTGAGATAAAACTTTCTCAAGCTTTCGCAAATTTTTTTCGTATCTATTATTATTATTCATGTGGTCCTCTTCTGTTTGTTTTATTTGTTCTGCTTGACTTTGAATTTTTTCAACAAGTCTGTTAATTTCTTCATCTCGATTATTTATTTGCATTAAAGCACTTTCATACGCTTTTTTTAACTCCACATAAGCTTTTTCCATATCACGACACTGAATTTGAGTATTAAAAAATTACTGACAAGTTGAAAACAGTTACCTTTTTTTTGTTTTCCTCTTGTAAATGTAAAAGACAGTCTCTTTGCTTAATTAAATTTTTGAAGTCTTTTAATAACTCTTTCAGTGCTGCTCTTTCATTTTTTTGCATCTCTTCGTAAATTTTCAACTGACTTTTTGTGCTATTTTCTAGTTTCTTTTTCGTTTCGTCGAGATGAAGATTTTTCTTTAATTCTAGTTCTAGACAATCGCTTAGTTTCTCTTTTACGGTTGATATCTCAGAAAGTTGAGCACACAAAGTCATCCTTTCTTTATCGGTGTCGATTTGAATATAACTCAACTTTTCTAAACTTTGTTTCAGTTCAGTTATCGTGTTTTCTTTCACTTCTACTTCATTTTTTAATTGCTCTCCCAACTGTTTATTAAATTCAGCAATTAGCTAAAAATAAAGCATAAAATCGAATTTCTAATTCAAATTTTTATTACGCTAAGTCGATTTGTCTCTTTACTCATGTCAGCAACGGCATCTTCTAATTGTTGAACACGTGATATTTCACTTTTCAGGTGTTGAAAGATAGTTTTTAGGATATTTTTCTCCTCCAAATATTTGATACGTTCATTTTGAAGAGCTAAAATCACTTTTTAGAAACCCCAAATGTAATAAATGTTATTACTAGTCAAGGTTTGGTGATGAGTGGCTAATTGTTTTTTCAGGTTTTCATTTTCAGCACTTAAAATGGTAAGTCCATCTTGTAAGGTGGCAATGTCTTGGTGATACATCTGTTGAGTTTGGACAAGATTTTGATTTTCCTCTTCTAAATTGTTACATTTGTCGTTTAATTGTTTACGCAGTGTGACAATTTTTGTGCAAAGATGTTTTAAATAATCTAATTTTTCATAATGGGATTGAAATTCTTTTGGTAAATCGCTACAAGACGCTAATTGCGACAATATCAGAACCATTTCATCGATTTGGTTTGAAAAGGACTGATTTTGTTGCAGCATATTGTTCATACTTAAACACTTTTTCTTGTTTTCAATCTACGAAAAAAACTGTGCAAATAAAAAAAATAATAAAGATTTTATTGTAACCTCATCTCGCAGAAAACGGATTTGTTCCATTGCATTCTCAAGCTTTAACTTCAAAGCAATATTTTCTTTCTCAAATTTCTTAAATTGGGTTTCTGGTTCTGGAGGATTCTTTTCGAGTCGTTTGCTAAGATTATCTAATTCGCTTGTAGATTTTTGAAGATTTTCTTGAAGTCGTGCATTGGTTGTTCTTAGTTTATTACTATAAACACAATTAGTTAAAAAATAATTATAATTGATAGATAAATTACACGTCCTTGGCCACCAGAGTGATATTTTTAAAAGCCGTAGTCATTGTTAGAAAAAGTTCTCCAACACATCCTCGAAGCTGGTAAGCCATTTCGGGTAAACAGCTGTTTTGATACTAAAAACACAACAAATAAAAATGTAAAAAATGTTTAAAATGTAGAAAACCAGGGTAGTAATAGAGGTAGGTAATAAAAAATCAGTAATGAGTGAGGGGCCGTTAAAAATGTGTACAACTAATCACAGAAATTCCAGTAATTCCAAAAAAATTCCACCGAAATTCCAGTAATTGAGTTCAATTCTAAAATAATTCCGATAGTTCTTGGAAACTCAACGATTCGATGTAATTTTCAAAAGAAATTATCTTTGATTCCAGTAATTCACAAATAATTAATAAACATAACATTACCTGATACTGAGGCCACATTACAGTTATTTCAAATTCGTTCAACTGGTGTCCAAATCCGTGCAAATCTTGAAATATGCAATGAAGTGAGGAAACTGCATCTTTAATGAGGTTATCTTGATGGTTTAACTGTAAAGCAAGATCTGATTTTTCAAGCTGAAAATCACTACTTTGTTGTTCTAAAGCGGTTTGCAAATGATAAATTTGTGAGCGAAAACTTCTCTTTTCTTCTTCGAGCACTCCTTTCTGATGTTGTAGTTTGTGTAATTCGTCTTCAAAATCAGAAATGACTCCAGTCAATGCTTTAACTTTATTGTGCAATTTTCGATTATTTTCAATCAAGTGTCTGGCGTAAATCTTGCCAAAAGATCTCATATGAAGAAATCGTTTTGGGTAGAGATTGTTTCGAGAAGCCAATTTTTCGCAATGACGACACAAAATCTCTATTTGAAGTTGAAGTGATCTGTTTGATTTTACTAAAAAGTTTAAACGTTTCTGTAAATTGTAGTCTTGCGTTTTGTTTTGTTCCAATTGCTGAAACCAGATTTTGTCGGCGAGGATATTTGCATGACATTTGGAGTCATACTGAAGAGCAAAATACTCAAATGAAGTGTCAACTAAAAAATCCTTATAGATATTTAACACAAAACTAATCTATTTACTTAGTTGTTTTTGGAAGTTTTTATCTTCGATATATTTTTTCAGGAGATGCACCATGTGCTGTTCCGAATGGTGCAAGTTTTGCAAAATATCCTGAAGTTCGCTCATACCATTGATTAACTTAATGTTGTATTTGGGTCTAAAATAATTTTTTTTTGCTATTACGATCTTAATTTCAGAGAGGAAAGTGACCAATTACACTTTCCTCCTCTTAATACAAATAGCTATTACATGTAGGCTGTTGGAATAAAACTACTCCACACGTTGGCCAAAATTTTGTGATTAGAACTGGTCGCATCATTAGATTTCTTATTTTTCTTAATAACAGCTGAGTTCTTGTCTTCGTTAGAACGCTTGACAATTTTTTGGAAAAAATTATGTTTATTTTCACTTTGAGATGAAACCTAAAATAGAGTGTCGTTTGGGTCTTTAAAACCGGTTTATACTTTTGTAATAGATGCAGGTTTTTGCCAACATTTTTCGCTTTCTGATGTAAACTGGTAACGGGCTAGGTTTTGTTCCGAAGCTGCACTATCCGTCTCAAAATTGATGGTAGAACAAGTTTCAATTTTTTTCGTTATTTTAACATTAGGTCTTTGGTGTTTTCTTTTAATAAGTGTGGCAAAAAGGGATTTTTTGGTTTTTCTGTGAGTGGCAGTGTCATTAATAGCTTCAAAATCACCATCGCTTGACGGTGTCTCGTCCATAATGTCGTTTTTCAGGATCTGCACTACTTGGTAAGCTTTCTGTTCCTAGAAAAACAGAAATGTGTGACAAAATCAAACTTGAAAAGTCTCTACCTTCTCAAGTTTTTGATTCATTGTACACTCAGTTATGAAACAACATAAATTCCAGCGATTGAAATGGAAGGAAAAGATGTTGGCAATCAAATTGTACAAAGACAATTCGTACAAGAAAAATTTACCGAATAATATAATACACCTAAGAAAAGCCGAAAATTTGTGCACCTTACTCTTTTGATCGGTCAAATTGCTCGGTTTAAATTTTGGGTACGAACCAAATGACGCATAAATGGAATACTTTTGGTAAATTTCTTGATTGCCAACAGTCTGCAAAGTTTAGTGCTTTAATAGAAAACCAAAAACAGCATTACCTTTCTAAACATTGCAATTTTCTTTTGAGCTGTTGTATGCAAATTGTGACATTTTGACATAAAACAAAACTAATTAAAATGTTACCATAGTATTCAAGACAAGGTTTTTTTGTATAAAGTGTCAAGTTGTGTCTGTTTTTCCCGAACCAAAATGGTCAAAACATTTAAAGATATTTGGCCTCCTGTGCAGCAGCCTTCCGAACACCCCAGTTTGCTGTCAAGTGCAATCACTCTCTTCAGTTTACATGACCTTTACGATGACACTGATCTTCGAGCAATTAACAAATCAAATGCTCTTTTCGCATACGACGGTTATAAATCGTCATCGTCGGAAGATTACGATTCAGAAACAACTTTATATAAAAAGAATGCTTCTCAGACGTTCCGAGATAGTAAATGGTTTAAAAGTGCTTGCATTTGTGTTGTAAACGACTGTTTTACGATGCTATCAGTGATTGCAGCTGCACATAGCACCGATTCTTGGCAGCAAAGAGAGGAACCTTTGTTGTATCAAACTTTAGAAGAAAGGTAAAATAAGTGGTTTAGGAAGATTATAGTGCTGTTGCTTTACAGATATGGGTTTCACACTGAAGAAAATTACGGTGATTACGTTTTAAATGCAAATTATACAAACATGCACAAGCTACAAAAAGACATCAAACACGTCTTAAAACTCCTTGGGGAACTAGCTGACGAAATTTATGTTTTCAACGCAGCCACATCTCTGTCTGTTTATGCTGAAGCACACGAAAAAATGAAGGAAGAAGAAATTCAATTCATGGCGGAGTATTTCAAAAAAGAGGAATATTTCCAACAATTACAGAAATCTTTGAAAACTAATAAAGAAGATACTCTGAAGGAGTTTCAAGAGATGGATAAAGTAGTAGATGAAATGACTGCAGATTTGAAGGATCTGATGGGTAATAATTTTAATTAAGTATTTATCTATTTTAATTATCTATTAAGAATATTCGAATACGTCTTTGAAGTACACAAAAATGTGGCAAAGCTCACGTGAGGAACAAAATTCGTCAACTCTTGAACGCAAAGAAAACACATTTGTTGACGTAATAGTCGGTATGGATAAAAAAATTGAATTGGAGCAGGTTTGCCACGTAGATATCGAACGTTATTACACATTGGCAAAAGAAGTAATTTTTGTTGTCTCTAAAACGATTTCAAAACAATTTTTTCGTAGGACGGTTTAGACGAAATTCAACGTTGGATGGACAAATATGATCAAGAATATGAAGAACAAGAAATGAGAATTTTAAAAACTAAACATAACACTCAAACCGTTATTGAGAAAAAAGAGAAACTGCAAAGTTTGTATGAAATTAGAGAGAAAGAAATGGAGGAATGGTTGGAGTACAAAAGAATTAAAAAAGAACAAGAAGAGGAAGAAGCTTTGAGAGAGTGGGCTGCTATTAAAATACAAGTACGGTGTTTTTTTTTCTGTTTTTTTTATTCCACTGTTATTTCAAGGCGTGGTGGAGACTAGTTATGGTTCGGAGAAAACTGGGACCTTTCAAGAAAAAGAAGAAAGGCCAAAAAGACAAAAAGAAGAAGAATAAAAGTAAAAACTAGGCACTTTATTATGTTAGGTTTTATGTCTCTATTTTATTTTTAATTATTTGTGTACGTCTGTGAGAGAAATATATATTTCAATTTTATTTTTTGATTTGCGCATGAATGGGAAGAAAAGAAAAAATAAATACAATTCTTTATTAAATAGCATAAGGGCTAAAATTTATAATTTACATATCTACAAGATGATACAGAGTATTGAAAAGTAATAATAACTATACAAATTTATCTATTTAAAACTTTTCTAATATAAATGTCCAGAAATAACGCAGCTCCACACCAAATTTTAAAAGTATTATATTTTTCAATTGGACGTTACGTTTTTTTCGTATAAATAATGATTTATTTTGGCACTGTGAGATGAAATGGTGCAAATCGTAAGTAATATAATATTTTTGAGCGGTTTGTCCGTGATTTGCACAATTTCTGATGTCATATATAAATATTTATCTAATTAAAATTAAAAATAATGAGTGAAACACATTTAACATTCGCGTCAAAAATATAAAATAGTTTAAGTACAGATAATTGTATTAGATACAAATGCTTGAAATTAATGATCTTTGGCAGTTGTGAATAACAATACTGTGAAAACGAATAAAAATACAGCGATAACAATAGATTACAAATTTACCAATGTCGATATGTCTTAAACATTATAAATTCTTCAAACACAATAATCTCATTAGAAAAGTTTGTGATTTTATGTACATAATTACAAGAGATCGTCGTTGGTCTTATTTACTTCCTCCATCCTATTGCTGTTTTTGTTTCTTTTCATGGCAGCGTAAATGGAAGCCGCCTTGTAATTTATAGGGCCGTATTTGTAATCAACGTCTGCATATTCTAGGTCACTGAATTCCGGCCGGTAAGGCTGAAAATGAAAAATTCCTTTATTGCCAACATTCGAAGCAAAACTAGAACATCAGCTGAAACACTGGCACACAAAAGAGTTTGTGTTGGTGATTTTAAATTAATTAACATTTAATTGATCACATTTAAAACAAAAAAACACGAAAAACAAAGTTATTTCATAGTTTGGAAAATAAAAACAATGTTAGTTGCTAAAAGAACAAAATATTTTTTTATCCGCAAACGTCACGAAAGTGACCACTTTTATGGCAAAATGTCGGGCCAACTTTTCTTTACTTGAATAACATGTTTTCTTTTTAGGTAAATTCACTTCTATTTGTATTTAAGGAATAAACAACAAACTTATTAACAACTATAAGAGAAAAAAAAATATATCTACGCCTAAGAGTTTTTACTTTCACCATGACATTATTGACATTAACCATTGTTTATTTCTTGTTTCTTTTACTGCTTCAGAGAAGTACACTGTAGATAATCAGTATTCGACATTTTGCACTACTAACTGCACTAGTTAAGTTAATAAATATTTTCGAAAATATCAACACAAATTCCGATACTGACGCGTGATATTTCTTTATAAGCGTTGTTATGATTTCATTAGTTGCAAAGCGTTCTGATTATTTTGTTCATTTACTTGTTAATTATATTGTTGCTTTTTATTCTCGATGTGAATACGTTTGCGGATAAAATAGTATAGTATACTCTGCTGGATTATTTAAAGTCATATTCCTAGTAACATAATATACTATTATTTACATTTTATATTTATTTATTTCAGTGTTGCAAGATTGGAAAACTTTATCATTAGTTGTTTTAGATTTCTCTTAAATGTACAGTCAAACAAAGTGAAAATGACGTTTCAATAAACCAGCTTCTGTTGTGGATGCCGACCCTTCTAACTCCAAGCAGGCAGGGTCGTAAATTCAGCATATTTCAAGATAAATTCCTTTAGAAGCTGGTTTATATCAGAAAGAGAAATGAAGATTTAATTCAGAATTAAACTAATTCGAATTAAGTTGCCATTTATTTTACATAGTCAAACATTTAAATTAAA